TGTTCTTTTCCGATCATTTCCCATTGGGAGCGATATTGATAAAATCATTCCAACGTGATAGATATAATTCACTTCGTTACTTCTACAAATATTTTATTAAATTTTTTATAACATATATGTATATATTATTATTGATTTTCTAAGATCCCTTATATTCGATTCTATAGCTCAAGGAATGTAAAATAAAATAAAATTGTTCTAAACCATAAAACACAGATATGCATGCAATTGATTTTACATACAAGATGCTAACTTTTTGAAAAATTGGAATTCAACAACCACTCGATGCATGATTTGTTAACACTTAGAATTGAATCACTAAGAGATGTTCAAGGTTGTTAACTTTTTACAATGGTATCCATGTAGAAAAAATAAATGCGGAAAATAAATAAGATAAATATAAAAAGAAACGGAATTACTTTTATTGTTACATATCTTCTTATTATTATTGCATTACAATGAAAATAGCTTACATATTTATAGAAAAATTATCAGACGAAATAAAAAGAAAATAGAAATAAATAAGATCGATACACAATATTTGATATAATATTGTGTCCATTATTATTTTTAATCATATCTTAAAATCAATATTTTCTTCAATCACATATTTATTTTTCTATTTCAATATTCTCCTTCAAGATTCACTTTGGAAGAATGAAAAAGTCAATCTTAAAGAGATAATGCGATACAAAAAAAACCATAGACTTTTTCGTTGTCTTTGGAAAAATTCATAAACACCAAATTTAATTATTTTAAAGAGTATTACCCATTTTCAAATTAGTTCGCTTGACTTTAAAGTTCTAATTTTGACTCTTTTTGTCATAGCATCTTACTTGATCTTAGAGTTTTTAGCTTTGACTTTTTTTTGTCATAGCATATCGTTTGAATTTGGATTTTTATTCCTCTTTGAACGATTTGGATATATGAACATCCAAAACATATCCAAAACGCAAAAAAAAAGAAGAAATTAAAAAAAAAGATATAGAGTAGATCGAACTAGACTCTGATACCATGTAGAAAAAATAAATGCAGAAAATAAATAAGACAAATATAAAAAGAAACTGATAAAAGAAGTTCTCACCATTCAAGGTAATGGGGATGATTTTGGTTAGGTCATCCATTGTTCTCGGTTGAAGACGAAGTGGTTGTTTTGTGGAACAAAGATGGAATAGATAAAAGAGTTTTCAAGTATCTTGGAGCTCTGATACCATAAAGAAATCTAAGATTCTGATGAGAAGAACAAAGAGAAAGGTCTCGGTTTTGACTTAGAGTTGTCGAGAAAGAGAGGAAGAGATTAGTGTTTGTAGAAAGAAATTCTCTTATTTTCTCTTGAGTTTACATGTTCGTACGAATAAAATATATACAGAAAAGGAAGAGAGTAATTGGCAATTGTGACGTCCGTAACCCGTATCTCGTCATATAGGCTGCGTCTCATGGACAACTAAAATTATTATTTCCTGGGAATTTAAATCGTAATTCATTAAAAACTTTTGCAGCGGAAATATATAATATATAAAAATTGTCTACCTACAATAGGTAGTAGATGAAATCCAAAATACAGATGTGTGAAAAATCCTACAATCTTTTCCTTATACAGAATAATATGAGGATACATATACAAAATCTAATTATATCAGCTCCACACGTCGTCCAAGTCGTCGTATCCATCCTGATCTCCTAACACCACTTCATCCCTGAAACATTGCATAACAACGTCCTAAACTATATGCTTAGGAAGTGACTCGGGTGCAATCTGAATATCCCATTTCCATTGAAACCGGTAACTCAACGTGAAAATAAAATAAAGTAATAGTAAAACACTCATCATGATTTCACCCAACAATCATCAAATCATCAATCACAATCAAGTCCGTATAACAAGTCATAGGACATCCCGTCAATTCGTAATCGGAACTGGATAGGCATCAATTTAGGTATATAAGTCATAACTCGACCCTAGGGTCTTATCCGTCAAATCTTCTCTACGTGCATCACACATGTAGGTTAAGTATCATCCTCATGTGCATCGCACAATCATCTCTCTCCTCGGTATCAATCCATACCATAAGCACTTGGTACCAGAATAATCATAATAGCTCCACTCAAAAACATCACCTCACCCTAGTATCGATGTCACTTCTCGGTACTAGGCGTGCCATCTCACCCCAGTACCGATGTCACCTCTCAATACCACGGCACTCCAGATGTCGACTCGCGACGCCATCGACTATATCGGGTTGAGCAGCTCTATGCTGACTCCCCTCACCGACCATCCGCCGTGGAAGTACTCGTCAGACCCGTGCCCAAGCCTTTTAGAGTAAATCCGAATCACCTCCCTGGAAAATTGCACTCATTCCCAGATCTCTGGTTTATGTGCCTACCGTCGGGAAATACACAATCCCGGAATCCATTCCATGATCAGTGGAATATTGGCGCGGTTACCAAAAAACCGTATTTCCTCATCACGTAACAGTGCTAAATCACTCGGTAGGCTATATACGTAAATCATTGGTATCATCATCACCAATCCAATCATAATCATGTCCCACCTATCGAACACCCAATTCGGATCGAATGTCGTCTAGATGGAACGCAATCATCAGGATGTCATACACATGCGTAACCCGACTACAATCATACGTTAGATAATATCCAAACCTGATCGGAATACTGTCAACGCCATGCAAACTATCCCGAAATAATTTCTGCAATCACATGCAGTCACACCTTTTTACTTACCTTACAGACATACAAACATGCCCCTTTTATCTCTTTATAAATTATAAATTTCTTAATATAATTATACCATAGAGTTTACTTAACACATATACACTCACTAGGTATTTATATCTATATACACCCATATATATATTTTTCTTTTTATTTTATTCATTTCAAACTGGGTTCTAATCCGTCCGGATGACTAATTCAAGTCGTCCCGTGGTTTCGCACTTACTTTGAATTTTGGTTCGGTTCGGACTATGTTTGGTTTCATTTCAGTATAATTTATTTTAGACTGAAGTATTATTTGTACTAGTATATTCGGCGAAGATGATGAAATCGTGGGAGAGAGAGAGAGAGAGAGTGAGGAGTGAGGTAGAGGAATGGGTGAGTGTTTTATGGGATGTGACAGCAATAATATACATGGTAAGAAAATATGTCAAACTTGGCAAAATGGAAACATATCAATTAGTGTTGAAAGTTTCCATTTTGTGAAGAGACGAACGTTGCTTGGTGTCCATTGTCAAGTTTCTCCGAGTGTGCCCTGATATGCAAGTCTTCGATTCTGTCTTCTTCATTCACTTGTTCTCCAACAATCCAAGGCGTTGAAGGTCGCCAACGTAACTAAAAGACGGCGGGTTGATATCCAATTATTGGATCGAGTCTGTCAGCATGCATCCGATAATTCATTTTCGCTTGTGTGCTAGGGTTTTGATAGTGACGAGGATTTTTTTTAGAACTGTTTTAAAGTTAGGACAAGGTGTGTAAAGATATGTCAAACCGATTCGATCACGTCTCTTTTATAGCCAACCTCGAAAACCCTAATCATGATGGCATTGGAATTTTTTCAAAATTGTGCTCAGCCGAACATTTTTCTACTCAACCCGAACACTTATTCTGTACGAGGGAGGTGCTCGGTCGAGCAAAAATCTGTTTGGCCCGAGCACACTCTCGAATCAAAAAATTTTGGCTCGTGCAACTTCTCGGAATGAAATTTCATTCAATCTGAAGACTACTCGGTCGAGTAACATCATTTGCACGGGTGTAAGTATTTCAACCTTTTGTATGTGATATTTTAGGTTTAAGTAAAATGGAAGTTTTTCAAAATCCAATTTCGATATACAATTGGTGATCTCTAATAAGAAACTATGACTACCCATAACCAAATAAAATTAGAGGTGATCTAAATAAAAGACGATAATAATTTTAGCAATTATCCTTTTATTTTTTTAAATCATTTTTAAACATAATGCATAAGACTAACTATCTCATCTAGTTCAACCGTTTTCTTATTCGTTGGACAAATTGTACATAAATGACTATTATTATAATGCTACCACACTTTACAGTTCTACTCATTCGAGAGATCCAACAATATCTTTTTCGTTCGAGAAAGATAAAACACATATTGATTATCTACTATCCTCTACTATTATAATATTCGGAGCACTATTTATTTTATAATCATCTGATTAAAGATGAGTTTGACTGAGTTGGAGCACGCTATTCTTTATGTCGAATATCACAAATATCTCAGGTATAAATATTCCCGGCAAATCAATATATTTAATTCAAGACATGACTCTCGTCCACAAAACAAACTCATACAGATCATTTAATACATTGTTTCAAACACATTAAATCATATATTTTTAAGTTTTATTACCTTATATTGTCTCATTTCATATTTATGGACCAGAGCTTTGATCGAGATAGAAGGACATCCCTTGTGTGCACACTTTGTCATTCTTCTTTCTTATACATTTTTTAAAAAAATTTATTTTATTAGTTTTTTTCTAATCTTATTATTAATAATGTGGAAAATATAACTTGTTACCTCTAAAAATAAACATATCGCCAAAAGATAAAAATGACATAATAATTACTGATCCATAAAAAAAGTCAAATTTAATCAGTCTCACAAAGTAATTAATTTATGATATTCCAAATTTAAATAAGACTTTCAACAATAAACCAAAAAATGAAAATTTAGATTATGAAGTTGGTTTTGTTTCTATTCTCTTCTCCTTCTTTTTTTGGTAAAAGTTGTTTCTATTCTTGCTTTTTCCATTGTTAACAACTTGAAAAATGACAAGAATGATATAATTATGTATCTAACAAAACTAATTCTCAAATTAAATCAGTCTAGTGAAGTAATTAAGTTGCTAATTTTCTAAATTATATGAACTTACGTGTATATATATACATGTGTAAAGTGACGGAAGGATTTCAAGTTTCAACAACGAAAAACAAAAGTGACAAAAAGGTGAAAAATATTTAATTTGATCATGAAGCTATTGTTTTTTCTGTGCTTGCTCCTTCTTCCATTGTGTTCTTATGGTGAGATTTATAAAAAAAAAAACTTCGTCTGTTTTTTTTTTATATATTTTCATTCTTAAATATAAACATCATATATATATATATTTATTTTTCATTCGAACAGGTTCCGAGGAGGCCAAACACGTGGATCTCTCCAACAGCAAGGTAAATTATTACAATTATATATGTTTCTCAATTGAATAACTCATGAAATATTGCTTCTATAAAAAAAAAAAAACTAATGAAATATTGGGTTAAAATTAGATTGATGATGAAGTGGGCATAACGGACTACGAGGCACCAGGAGCCAACTGTCAACATGACCCCAGTTGCGGACGTGGACATCATCCGCCAAACTCTGGGGCCCACGCGCCCTCCTTTAAGATGTTAAAGAATATATCCTTTTCCAGTTGAATTTGCTAATGTAATTTTCATCGATAAGAATAAATAAAAAGGTATGAACAAATAAAATTTGAATTTGCAGATTCACTAACGAATTTTAGGTACAAGATATAAATATGAGACTGATATAATAAAACGAAGATGAAAATACAAAATGGTTAGGAAAACAAATATAATATCCTGGATCTTATAAACCGATCCACAAATAAATCGGAGGTTACCTTTAATATTCATCCAATCTCTTTGTGTATCCATACCAAAATTAAAAATGTCTTCAGCAAAACTCAAAACCAACAAACTTTAATCCAAAACCAAAGCATTTTATTATGCTTACTCGTTTAGGAGTTGGGATCGATCGCAAATCAGCTCATATTTTCTGAGATGGAATTGAAAAATTCGAGTCCCAAAAAAAGGATCGAATGAACCGGCTCGGCAAAATTTTTATTTTATTTTTCAAATTTTCAAAATTTTAAATAATTTTAATAGTTTTTAATATTTCTATCATTTTATAATTTTAACGTTTTTAAATATTTTTTTAATTATTTGTAATATATTTGTTTTTATTTGACTCTCTAATCGATTCGCGAATTAAGACGATCTAAATCGAGACAGAGTCTTTCTGGCACATAAAAAATGAATCGCAGTGAGATGGACCGAAACGAGCTGGCTCGAATTGATCTGGTCCGAATGAACTTATTTTATTTTAGTAATAGACGATTAAAAATTTTAAAAAAAATTGAAATTACGGTCTCACTGTTTTTTTTTTTTTTGCATTTAACTTTTTAATCAGGTCAATATATTGATAATTCCAAGACAATCTTTGCCGTTAAAAACTATAGAGTTTTATAAGATATGTCAATTTTTTTTTCATTTAATTTTTTTGGAATGAGTATGTTATGTATTATTTTAGTTTGGTTTTTTTAGGAAAATTGATGAAATATATCAAATTTGAACAAAGATTTGAAAAGTATTACAAACTATACATTTGGATGAAATTTTGCCAAAAATACCATCGACTTTATTGTCCAATATTTATATTGTCATTTAGCGTCTTAAAGAATCTTCAGGATGAAACATTCTTGTAACGACTCGCGACTGCTATATAATGTCAAAACTGTCCTTACACAACACGAGATCTTTCATCATGTTTTTTCCTCACTCCCACGTATATGGAGATACTTTCCATAGATCACCCATCCTTAGATTGCTCTAGAGTCAGCACGCTTAACCTTAGAGTTCTCTCGTGATAGTAAACCGAAAAGGTAGGTGCACCTTGTTGATATGAGTAGTCCAACTAATTCTTTTCTGTTATCTTAGACCATATAGTCTCGTCTTCTATAGCCCTCGGATCTCTCTCATTCGGGTGCGCTCGATTCATTTCTCTATCTCTTTGGTCTTAGTGGTACTCGGAGAGCCGTTTTTTACTGACATCTGCACCGACGAATACTCCTAACCCTCATCATAGCTCTAAATATCACAAGCCCACCAGCTTCCGTCTGGTTCATCCTCAAATCCCACCGTACTGGAAGAGTATTGGCTCTGATACTGTAACAATCCGCGACTGCTACGGAATATCAAAATTGTCCTCAAACAACAACAGAGATCTTCTAACATGTTTTGTCTTCACTCACACGCATATCGAGATATTTCTTAGTAGATCATCTATCATTATATTGCTACAAAATCAGCACGCTTAATTTTGGAATTCTCTCGAGATTGTCAAACGAAAAGGTAGGTGCATCTTATTGATATGAGTAGCCTAGTTAATTCTTTTATGTTATCTTAGACCTTATAGTCTCGTACCTATATAGCCTTTGGATCTATCTCATTCGGGTGTGTTCAATTCAATCATGTATCTCTTTGGCCTCATTAAGACTTGGAGAATCGCTCTTTGTCTGTGTCGTTACACTCCCAATACTCATCATAGCTCGAGATATCACAATTCTCATTTTGGAGAACCTCCGTTGTAGAGACCCAAAATCTGGTATTTCAGACCCATTGAATTGTCACTTAGGTTTTAAAAAGAAATATTCGGTTTATTTTTAATACCATACTATCATCTCAAAATCTGCAGCGGAAGTCTCAATAATAAAATTCTAACATAAGTCTAAAAATACTGAACTCAAAAAAATAAAAATCTAAAGCATCGTGTCTCTTGCAACTACCAAGACCTACCACTTGATCTACTTCACCTTTCACCTGTAGGGAA